AGTTGAGGTAATCAGTCCCTCGGCCTTGGAGTTAGTGTTCACAGCATCGTGGTGGAGGAGAATCTGGAGCAAAGACAAGAAGACTGGCGGTTATATAGGCGTCTGCTGCCCGTCCCTATCCACTGACGCCTATATAACCGCCAGTCTTCTTGTCTTTGCTCCAGATTCTCCTCTACCACGATGCTGTGAACACTAACTCCAAGGCCGAGGGACTGATTACCTCAACTTTTGTATATAGTTCTACTGTCTACCTATTATGTCCTAGAATCTGTATTGATAAAGCCACTGGCTGGCGAAACGTCTACAATAAAGATATCCAGATGTTGCACATGTGTCTTAACTTTCATATTGTCGGTATTTTATACCTTTCTTGCACAACTTGTCAGACACTGCAACATCATGGAATCTTGGTTCAGAGGACATCTACAAGACCTTCTTCACGGCTGCTGCAACTAACCCATCTCTTTGGGAAGGACCTACTTCCACTGGGGAATCCCGCCTACCAGTGACTTTGCCCTCGTCTGCTGCCCGTCCCTATCCACTGACGCCTATATAACCGCCAGTCTTCTTGTCTTTGCTCCAGATTCTCCTCTACCACGATGCTGTGAACACTAACTCCAAGGCCGAGGGACTGATTACCTCAACTTTTGTATATAGTTCTACTGTCTTCCTATTATGTCCTAGAATCTGTATTGATAAAGCCACTGGATGGCGAAACGTCTACAATAAAGATATCCAGATGTTGCACATGTGTCTTAACTTTCATATTGTCGGTATTTTATACCTTTCTTGCACAACAAGCGTGACGCGGTATTCCTACCTACATTAGTTTGCGGACGACGCGAAGCTACTGATGAGAATAACCACTAGAGAAGATAAGAAAAAACTGCCAGATTATCTTAACAAACTGCAGGAGTGGCCTAAGAGGTCGTTACTAGGTGCTATGCCGAGCATAAGTAGGATTATAAAAGTCAGGGAATGAGAGAGAGAACGGGATAAACAACAGAGGCAGCTGGAACAGAAGCTACGAACATCAGAGAATCAAACGACCTGGTGATAAGTATATTATTGTATTAAGTAAATAAGTAAGTGTATTCAGGTATATACAAATACAGTTATATAGATTATCATACATAGCAGCATATGTTTGAAAAACCCAGGATAACCCAAAAAGTCAGACGGAGTACCTAAGTATATTAACAGAGACGAGGAAGGGCACTCAGGCACCTCAAGATAAAAGTAGGTACGACCCATCATAGAGTACACAGCACCAGCATGGAGTCCGAGACCCGAAATACGCAATATTGATCTACGTAGAATGAACCTTAAGGCATGCTTACGACTTTTCAAATGTCTGGAGGACTTGATAAGGCGGAGAGAACAGACTGAAGGAAGGAACCAGGAACATCACAGAGTCATCTTCATCTTCACAGCTGTGAATCGACCCCTGCAACCACAAATAGGTGAGTACAGATATTCATCTGGGTTAGGAAGTGGAACAATCAAATTTTACCCAAATTTTAGGTAAGCGAGGGACCCATTGGGCCAAAAATAGGTAGGCGAGAGACCCATTGGGCCAAGAATAGGTAAGCGAGGGATCCATGGGCCAAGAATAGTGGGATCGTGGAGACTTGACTCCCCAGAACCACAGTTAGGTGAGTATATCATCTTGCCGGATCAGAGTAAAAGATAAAAAAGGTTCTCTCCCTACCCTCCGGGACATCAGATGTTGAAGTCACTGACCGACGTAGTGTAAAACTTATAATGAAAGAAGGAAAGTTGAATATAATGAATGATGAGTAATACATGACTGCTGCTTTCTGTACATCATTAGTGCTGCTGCTGCTGTTACTGCTGTTACTGCTGTTACTGCTGTTACTGCTGTTACTGCTGTTACTGCTGTTGCTGCTGCTACTGCTGTTACTGCTGTTACTGATGTTACTACTGTTACTGCTGTTACTGCTGTTGCTGCTGTTGCTGCTGTTACTACTGTTACTGCTGTTACTGCTGTTGCTGCTGTTACTGCTGTTACTGCTGTTACTGCTGTTACTACTGTTACTGCTGTTACTGCTGTTGCTGCTGTTACTGCTGTTACTGCTGTTGCTGCTGTTACTGCTGTTACTGCTGTTACTGCTGTTACTGCTGTTGCTGCTGCTACTGCTGTTACTGCTGTTGCTGCTGCTACTGCTGTTACTGCTGTTGCTGCTGTTACTGCTGTTGCTGCTGTTACTGCTGTTGCTGCTGCTACTGCTGTTACTGCTGTTACTGCTGTTACTACTGTTACTGCTGTTACTGCTGTTGCTGCTGTTGCTGCTGTTACTACTGTTACTGCTGTTACTGCTGTTGCTGCTGTTACTGCTGTTACTGCTGTTACTGCTGTTACTGCTGTTACTGCTGTTACTGCTGTTGCTGCTGTTACTGCTGTTACTGCTGTTACTGCTGTTACTGCTGTTGCTGCTGCTACTGCTGTTACTGCTGTTACTGCTGTTACTACTGTTAC